ATAAAATACTTGGGAATCAACCTAACAAAAGAGGTGAAAGACTTATACAATGAAAACTACAGAACCCTAAAGAGAGAAATAGAAGAAGATCTTAGACATTGGGAAAATATACCCTGTTCATGGATAGGCAGAACTAACATCATCAAAATGGCGATATTACCAAAAGTTCTCTATAGGTTTAATGCAATGCCAATCAAAATCCCAACGGCATTTCTTGTAGAAATAGAGAAAGCAATCATGAAATTCATATGGAAAAATAAAAGACCCAGAATAGCAAAGACAATGCTAACCAGGAAGTGTGAATCAGGCGGTATAGCGATACCAGACTTCAAACTATACTACAGAGCAATAGTAACAAAAACAGAATGGTACTGGTACCAAAACAGGAGGGTGGACAAATGGTACAGAATAGAGGACACAGAAACCAATCCACAAAACTACAACTATCTTATATTTGATAAAGGGGCTAAAAGCATGCAATGGAGGAAGAATAGCATCTTCAACAAATGGTGCTGGGAAAACTGGAAATCCATATGCAACAAAATGAAACTGAATCCCTTTCTCTCGCCAAGCACAAAAGTTAATTCAAAATGGATCAAGGAGCTTGATATCAAATCAGAGACACGCCGTCTGATAGAAGAAAAAGTTGGCTGCGATCTACATACTGTGGGGTCGGGCTCCAAATTCCTCAATAGGACACCCATAGCACAAAAGTTAATAACTAGAATCAACAAATGGGACTTACTTAAACTAAAAAGTTTTTACTCAGCAAAAGAAACAATAAGAGAGGTAAATAGGGAGCCTACATCCTGGGAACAAATCTTTACTCCTCACACTTCAGATAGAGCCCTAATATCCAGAGTATACAAAGTACTCAAAAAATTAGACAATAAGATAACAAATACCCCAATCAACAAATGGGCCAAGGACCTGAACAGACACTTCTCAGAGGAGGACATACAATCCATCAACAAGTACATGAAAAAATGCTCACCATCTCTAGCAGTCAGAGAAATGCAAATCAAAACCACCCTAAGATACCATCTCACTCCAGTAAGATTGGCAGCCATTATGAAGTCAAACAACAACAAGTGCTAGCGAGGATGTGGGGAAAAGGGTACACTTGTACATTGCTGGTGGGACTGCAAATTGGTGCAGCCAATTTGGAAAGCAGTATGGAGATTTCTTGGAAAGCTGGGAATGGAACCACCATTTGACCCAGCTATTCCCCTTCTTGGTCTATTCCCTAAAGACCTAAAAGGAGCATGCTACAGGGACACTGCTACATCGATGTTCATAGCAGCACAATTCACAATAGCAAGACTGTGGAACCAACCTAGATGCCCTTCAATAGACGAATGGATAAAAAAAATGTGGCATTTATACACAATGGAGTATTACTCTGCATTAAAAAATGACAAAATCATAGAATTTGCAGGGAAATGGATGGCATTAGAGCAGATTATGCTAAGTGAAGCTAGCCAATCCCTAAAAAACAAATGCCAAATGTCTTCTTTGATATAAGGAGAGTAACTAAGAACAGAGTAGGGACGAAGAGCATGAGAAGAAGATTAACATTAAACAGGGATCAGAGGTGGGAGGGAAAGGGAGAGAGAAGGGAAATTGCATGGAAATGGAAGGAGACCCTCAGAGTTATACAAAAGTACATACAAGAGGAAGTGAGGGGAAAGGGAGAAATAATACAAGGGGGAGAAATGAATGACAGTAGAGGGGGTAGAGAGAGAAGAGGGGAGGGGAGGGGAGGGGAGGGGAGGGGAGGGGGGATAGTAGAGGATAGGAAAGGCAGCAGAATACAACAGACACTAGTATGGCAATATGTAAATCAATGGATGTGTAACTGATGTGATTCTGCAATCTGTATATGGGGTAAAAATGGGAATTCATAACCCACTTGAATCAAAGTGTGAAATATGATATATCAAGAACTATGTAATGTTTTGAACAACCAACAATAAAAATTTTTTAAAAAAAGAACTATGCAATGATTTGAACAACCAACAATAAAAAATTAAAAAAAAATCATCATGGTACCAAAGATAAAATTTTCTCCCCTGTTGTCCAAAAGCAACTAAAATGCCCAAGACTAACTAGTTCACTCATTATGAGGTAAATGTGCTTAGATGTTGAAAATAAATAGCAGGAGATAATGCTAATTTTGACTTTTTACAACACATGGAAGAAAAAAAGAAAGAAACCATCAGATAAATACAAAGTGAGTACCTCTTTTGAGCTGTTTAAGTTAAAATTAAACAATGCTATGTTTTTAACTTAAATTTCCACAAGTTCCTTGTTACTGTGCATAAATAAAACAGATTTTTTGATATTTATTCTGAATCCTGAAAGCCTGCTGAACTTACTACTAAGTTCTAGGAATTCCTGGAAATTTAAAAAAAAATTCTGTGTAAAATCATATTATATTTAAATGGGAATTGATTTCTTTCTTCCTTTGTGATTTGGAGGCCTTTCATTCCCTGTTCTTGTCTTAATGATCTGGCTAGAACTTCCAGCACCGGTGAATAAAGGTGCTAAGAGTAGGCATTCTTACCTTGTTCATCCTTTCACCATGAAACAACATTGCCTAGACCAGTTTGGCTGGTCTCTAGTAAGTTCCATTCCTCTGGGTATGACAAAGCCACAACAAAGCATCACAAAGACAATGGTTTAAAAGAGCACACACATTCTCTCATTGTTCTGGAGAATATATGTCCAAAATCATGATGACATCATCAAGGTCATTCTCCCACAAGGACTGCTTCCCAGTTCTGGTAAAGGTGTCAACTCGAGATATTCCTGTGCCTCAGTCACCACAAGGGACATTGTCTCTGCTCTCCTCCTGAGTAGGCTTGGGTAGAAATGGCCACTGATGGTATCTATACCTGAGGAGCTTCTTGGAGATTTCATATTAGGAACTTAATTTTCTTAAGGATCACTGGACCATGTAAATGCTCATGTTCTTTTGGTATTTTAAGCTTTTCTACAAATTGATCTATTTCATCTAAACTGTATAGACTGTGTGTTTAAAGTGTTTCAGTTGCTCTAATCATTTTCTGTCACTATCATGTTTTCCCTAAAGTTGCACACTTCATTAAAAAAAAAAAGGTTGCATACTTTGTTTTTAAAAAAAAAACAGGTTTATTGAGCTGTCACTGTAAAAATGAGGCCTGTTCTATTCAGGTTTGTGAAGATGAATGTCACACCTGGCTTTCTAGACTACTGCTGATAAACTCCTGTCAGGTGGGGACACGCACTGACAACAGCCACCATCCATCCCCCTTTGACTGCACTTGAGTCCTGCAGGCAAAAGGAGGCCATGGGAGGCTGTGGAGCAAGGAGGCCCTGGGGAAACAGGCATCTAGGACACAAAGTGGAAAAGCGATTGTAGGTTGTAAAGGTGGAACCCATGGTTTGTGCTCTACTTGTTGGAAAGGCCTCAGCATGAAGGAGCTCCGCATCCACATATTGAAATAGTTAAGTGAAACAGCCCTTCCTTCTTACCTAGAGACGGGAAGTTGCATTGTCCCCATTGGAAGGCCAACATCTGTTTCTAGGAGCCGCAGGGAGAACACCTGCCTGACATGTGCCAGCCTGGCCCAGTGGCAGGCCTCGAGGAAAATGCCAGCCCAGGACACCCTGTCCTTCTGCTCCTGAGAACAACCACACAAAATGCAAAAAGGCGTTCCTCCTCTACACTGGCCCCCTCCAGTCCTCCAGGATCCCTGCATATCCCTGTGACTGTCCCAATGTGGGCCTGGAGTTGGCACCTGGGACTGGGCTTCCTCCCCAGGACACTCCTCCATGATGCTCATTAGGCCTCTCCTGCTTCCAAGAACCTCCTGCACATTGTGACCTTTCAGGCAGCTCTTGGGCAATCCCTTCCCTAGGCCAAGGTTGGGTCAGAAAATGGCCATTTCCTAACTGCACCCCTGTGCCCTGCGTCAAGCTGGGAAGTGGTTTTGCCTTAGAGGGATTCACCACCATTGGGATTTTTTTCTATAGCAAAGTGTTAATTTTCTGATAATTTCACAAATGGGGCCCCATCAGAAAATGGCAAACTACTAAAATGACACATATGCTCTACATTTCTTAAGGTATCCACACCTGATCACTGAGGGGATAGCAGGAAGAAGCTGCCACAACAGCTGTGGGGGCGCAGTCTTGGGAAATATCAGGGATGGAAGAGTTAGAGCCTCCCCTCCTGGCTAACCCAAGTACTTCCCACTCTTCATTTGTGCATGCTTCAAACTTCAGCATCAAGAGAACTCAAAGCAAAGAGCAATTCCACAAGAGTACATTTTGCTTTTATGCAAATATCATCCATAAGATGGTTTGTCATCTCCACTCCCCAAACCCCATGTGTTCCCTTCTCTGCTACCTCCAGCAGGGGCCATGAGGATGATTTGGATGACGAGGCAGCATGGCAGGTGGTGAGGCACACAGTCACTGCTGCAGGAAGGCCCACCCCTAACTCCTGGCCCTCCTCTGACTTCCTAGCAAACCGTATGAAGTAGATGATGTCATAGAACTCTCTGGGGTCTCCTATGCCTTCTCAGATGTGATTTCTCCAACAGTTGCCACCCATCCTCTCCACACACTTCAGGGAAGGATGCCTTCTGCCAAAGAACATGAGCTCAGACTCATTCATATCTACGCTGGCTCTAAGGCAAAATCCCCATCCAACCAGGTTAAGGAGAGCAAATCTCCAAGACACTAGGTCAAAGCAAGTGAGTGTACATCTTCAATGGCTAGAGGTAAGAGATCCTCAACACTAAGGTAACTGAGTCCCCATCTACACTGGCTAAAGGCAATTGTGTGTTCCCTTGTACACTGGCTGAGGTGAGTCTATCTATAGAGAGGCATAGTGATCCAGGCCTTCGAGAGGATGCCTGGTGGCCTCCAGCCCTCACTCAAGGACCCTTCTCCCTCCCCCATCAGCCTTTTCTTTTTTTGGAACATCAATTTGACTATGCAATTTGAGAAAAACAAATTTATTAATATTTCTGTCATCTCAGGAGCATGGGAGAAAGGACAGAGAAGAGCAAGGTAAGGGAAGGGTCCCAGGGAAAATAGTCTCATTTGATGTCCCTGGCAGGTGGGGGCAGGGGAGAGTCCTGATGTCCAGGTAGATCCAGGTGTGCTCCTGGCTGGACCCCATGTGGAGAAGCCCAGCCAGTAGGCACTCTCAGTCCTGCAGCTGTTGGAGTCCATGTGACAAATGCCAACATAGTGACAGCATCCACGGAGCAAAGGCTCCTCTGGCTGGCTGTTTCTTCGTTTGGTCCATCTGAACTGTCCATTTATGTAGGAACCACCCAATTTGTGAACCTAGCAGGTTTCTGCTCTCCTGGTGTAGGAGCCTCGTTTTCGCCAACACATGAGGGTGTGTAACAGCACAGTCTGCGCAAGCAGGCAGCCATCCTCTGCCTCACCCGCTTCCAGCCCTTCCTGTGGCCCCAGGGACGCCCTGTGGTGGCATCTTGGGAGACATGGCTGTCTGTTGTTGATGGCCAGGGTTGGGGTGAGTTGGACACAGAGTGATGCTGGGAGGCTAACCTGGGAGTGGGGGGCTTCTCATGCAGGAAGCGGAGACCAATGGCAGGCCAGCTGGCCCTTCTGAAGCCCTTCTGCCCTGACTCCTTGGCCTCCTGAGGCTGATGATGCTCACAGGGCAGGGGGAAGGTGTGAAGGGCAGGCTCACTCGCCCTCCTCTGCGGGAGGGCAGGGGAAATGGAAGGATCCCTTCTCACAGGCTTCATGCAGCCTGCCCCCTGGCTTATCTGCTGCTGGATTATGAGATAGGAAGCCATCGCCTCATCAAACTTTCTCTGGGACAGCAACACCCAGGTACTGTAAGGGTCGTACCCCATGTTGAACAGCATTGTCAGTACTGTGGGGTCTGAGAGGTTGGGGAGGGGCACATCATGGAAAGATGAATTCTCCTCACCCTGATTCAGCCACGGGTCTGCCAAGATCTCCTCTGCCGAGGGGCTTGCTCCTGGGTCCTCTGCCAGGATTTTCCTGATGAGCCTTTGTGCTTCGGGGGACACGTGCTGGGGAAATTCCAACTCGGGGTGTAAGATGTCATGCGGGCGGTTCCCTGTCAACATAAAGTTCAAAATGATACCCAGTTGCCAGGTGTCCATTGTGGGGCCCTCCAGAGGACCCCAGACTCTGTTCCATTCTTGCCCAGGCTTGAGAACGGTGCTTAAGCCAAAGTCGATGATTCGGATGTTGCCTCTGGCATCCAGCACAACGTTCTGGGGCTTCAGGTCTCCATGCAAGATGTGCATCTTGTGGCAGTAGCACACCGCACAGGTGATCTGTCTGAAGAGTCTCCAGGCCTCCTCCTCCTCCTACATGCCCCCAGGTGGGATGAGGTCAAAGAGTGATCCCCTGCCTCCATGCTCCATCACCAGGTAGACGTATCGGTGGGTTTCAATAACCTGAAAGAGGTGGATCACATTCAGGTGGTTCAGGGTCTTCATCGCCAGTTTTTCAGGGCAGGTCAAACTCCTCCAAAGTCTCCTTGGCAGGATTTTCACCGCCACCTCAGCCCCAGTGCACAGATGGCGGGCTAGGATCACCTGACCAAATGCCCCATGCCCAATGTCCTTCAAGACCTGGTAATGGTCTGTGAAGGCCTTCTCCTGGCAGGAGCCAGGCCACTGTGGCACTACACTAGACTCACTACTCTTACTATGCATCCTAAGCAGGAACACCAACTAAGGATGCTAGCTAAAAAGAAAATAACAAATCAAAACAACAAACAAAATCAAGAAACAAAACAAGACAAAACAAAAAAAACCCAAATCAAAGAACCAATCGCCAAAGACCACAACCACCAACCACCAACCACCAAACGCACTAACTAGCTGGGAGTCCGACAGGTCACCACCAAGAGCTTCCTGTACTTATGGACAAAAACCCAGCCTCAGTCACTCTGTTATATACCCCGGGGGTTGAGACTCCCTCACAATGGCTCCTTGTGAGCTCAGAGTAAGAAATGACCCAGTCATGCCTGGGCATCATCTCCAGTGGCCATGTCCCTTTGGTCCTACAGGAACTTTTCTAGTTTCAGAGTAAGAATAAGAAAGGACTTCATAAGCTTTATGCTTCAAGGGGTTATGGAAACTGATATTTATGCTTTAAAAATTAAAAATCGTACAGTACTTCAGTGGACTTTTCCTTTCAAGTCTGAAAGTCTGTTGTTTAACTTTGGCTTTGAAAGACCTCATCATATCCACACTGAAGGTATCCAACTGCTTTTTCTTCCAACACTGAATGAGGGTGTCAAAGAATGGTAGCACCTGACTCATGTTGTGATATTCTTAACAAAATGCTCTGTTCCCTAAGACATTTTAGATCACAATACACATACCTAAGGGGTTGAGAGGGAGGAAGGGCTCATCATAGTTTCCCCATAAGATTGTCATCAGATCTCTCATTAGAAAAACTGGAGCACAAAACAGAGTTGAAATATTCAAAGCAATAAAGGACAAACTCTAGAAACAAAGAATCCTAGAACCAGTAAAAGTATCCTTCCCAGAGAGGGAAGGAATGGAGGTGTTCTCAGATGACTTCACCCCTTCATAGTAGTATAATTAAATGCCTTAGACTGGATGATGTATTAACAAATTAACTAGTCCCAGTTCGGTAGACTGTCAAGTTCAAAGTCAAAGCACACTTTGGTGCTGTGTACTCATATGAAGGAAGGGCAGAAGGGTGAAACTCATTCTATCAAGAACCCCCTACCCTTTTATTTGTTTGTTTGTTTGTTTTGTACTTACTGGCAACTCAACACATCAACCTGAGCTCACACACTTCAAGCCTGTGTTCTGCCACTGAGGTACATCCCCAGCCTTTAGATTGCTAGACAAGTTCTTGCTAAGTTACTCAGGCTGGGCTTGAACGTGTGATTCAAGCGGATAGGCTTACACCCTCTTGTGGTTTAAAAATGAGGTGTTCCCCAAAAGCTGCTGTGTTAAGGCAGGACTATTCAGAAGTAAAAGTTTCTGGATTGGGAAAACTGTACCTGATCAGACCCCTCCCCCCAGTTCCAATGGACTAACTGGGTGGGCAGGTAATATGTGACTGGAGGAGGTGGGCCATTGGGGTAATGCCCTGAAATGGGGATACTTCCCTGTGTCTCCTTCCCCTCTTTCTGTTCCCTTATTGTCATGAAAGGAGCAGCTTTCCATTGCTTGGTCCTTGCCCCATGATGTGCAGCCTCCTGTTGAGCCCAGAGCAATGTTTTAGGCCATCTATGGACTGAGACTTCTGAAATTAGGCGCTGCAGATAAAGTTCTCATTCCTAAGTTGTTCTTGTTGGGTGGTGTGGATACCGCATGAAATGAAGCTAACTGAATCACAATTGATACCAAGAAACACCTGAGACTCTGTGAGGTTGCACTCTAAAACAAGGGACCAACTTATCTGGTAGAGGAAATTTCAGGACAGCACAGCATTCATGGATATTATGGTAACTTTTTGCCTCCTTTACTCTGAGAATGGGAGAGGAAAACAGAGCTAAAGAATTTTTAAATCTTATAGGTTAGAAAGACTTTTGGAAAGTGAGGAGGTAACTGTGACCATTTGCTTTTGGTGAAACAGCAATTCCATCCTAAAATGTTTTGTTTTGTTTTGTTTATGTCTGTTAGTAGCTGCAACCTGCTAGTTTCTGCTTCTGTAATCATGTTTGCCCAGCAAGAACTGGAGCTGCCTGGAGAACGGAGGCAAAATCAAGGCTACCTGCATGAGGAAGTCTTGAAACCCAGAGATTGGTACTGTACCACAGACACTAAGAACAAAGGTCTGTGCTCAGCCTTTGGGAAAGACTCTTTTGAGCCCACATCAGTGCTGAAGAAACCTTGCTCCTCTCCATCTCCAAGGGCCACTTGTCTCCTTCCAATGCTATGATTTTTCCATATTTTAGGTTTAGGGACATGAGTACTTGGTACACTACAAGGCCATTCTCAACCCTGAAATCCACACACAATGCTGATGATATCAGCTCTCACCAAACTGTGCTCACCGTTACGTCAGCTCTGATCCACATACTTCAAAACTCCTTTAATTTTCACAATTACCTCACGTAGCAAGTGCTAGTATTTCCCCCATTTTATAGATGAGGAAACTGAGACACAAATAGTAAATAATGTGCACATAGTCACACGACCAGTGAATAAAGAACCAGGATTGAAACCCAAGTGTTCTGAACCCTGAGGCTCTTCCCCACCCCAACTCTAGCTCCTCCATGTCTAAACACACAGTCACAACAGCATTATGACAACAAGGACACCTGGGTGCATCAAGAAGCCACTCCTGGTATAGCTTTGAAATGAGCAAAAAAGCAGGAAAAAAAAATTAGCTTTTCCTTTTAAAAAAGTGACAGGTTGTCCTTATGATAATAAACAAATTCTTATCAATTTGTGTAGTAAAATATTACTCAGTTAAACCCTGTTCCTTTAATTCCATCCTCTCTACTTCCAAAGAGGTATTCATTGCCTGTTGAATAATGGAAATGCTTTGTAGCTTGATTGGGGTATTCACTTGACTGTATATATTTGTCAAACTTCATTAAATAACACACTTAAAGGTTACATTTCATGGTATAAAAGTTTTAGCTCAATATAGTTGCTTTCTTTTTAAATTCTGTGTGTGGGTCCTAAAAAAAAAAATCACATCATCTCATGTTAAAAGTGCCTCTGAGACAGTGAAACATAGAGATATAGTGTCAGAGTTAAGAGTCTAGCTGAAGTGCACACACAAAAAAACCACAAGCTTGGCTCTCTGCAAAGATGGCAGCCTGAACATACCTTTCCTTTTTTGTGTCCCTCTAAAGCAAGAGCAAAAGACTGCTCAAAAACAACAATTAAGGAATTATTTTAAAGATATAAACTCACAAGGTCAGAAAGGATGGTATATTAATCAGGGTTCTCTAGAGGAACAGGATCAACAGGAGGTATGATTATACAAAGAGGATTTATTAGATTGGCTCATACAACCAGAGGCTGCATAGTTCACAATGGCCATCTGCAGGCTAGAGAGCTGGAGGAATCAGTAGCTGTGTTATCTATTCTATACAGTAACGCTCATGAAATTTTTCAAAATAATTGTAATCCCACTTTACAGAGAATTATAGCCATCACGAAAATATGGTGAACTTCAAGCCAGGCATGGTAGTACACACCTTAAGTCCTGGCTACTTGGGAGGCTAATGCAGGATTGTTTGAGCACTGGAATTAAGGACCATCCTGGGCAACATGGTGAGATGCTATTTCTAAAAATATGTCCATATAAATAAAATATGGTGAATTTCACAGTAGCTTGCCTTTTCTTTATATCATTATATATTTTTATAATGGAATTTGATGGTAACTTTTTAAAGGAGAACGAAGGTAACTATGGCAGATATTTCTAAGACAGAGGCAATAAAGTGACTATTGGATTTGGTTATGAGGGTATTATTAGTGAACTGCACAGTTCAGGTGGGACTGTTGAGACAAAAACTCTATTGGAATAGTTTGAGGAGTAAAAAAGGAGTTTGCGGAAGTGAACGCAAAATTCACAGACTTCAGGGGCTGGGGATATAACTCAGTTGGTAGAGTACTTGCCTCACATGCACAAGGCCCTAGGTTCGATCCCCAGTACCACCCCTCCCACCCCTGAAAAAAAATCAGACTTCTTTAAAAAGTGTTGCTTCAAAAAAGAGCATAGTGGTGAAACAGGAGATGAATGAGGGATGGGGAGTTGTCTTCCATCGGTTCAACCATTTATTTTCCAATATGAGGAAGTCTAGACATATTGGGTCCCTTAGAGGTAGGAGCTCTTGCAGTCTGTGTAACTGTTGTGGATTGAACACTTATGTCCCCCACAAATAACCATGTTGAAATCCTCACCCCCAAGGTGACAGTATTGGAAGGGAGGCCTTTGGAAAGTGATTAGTTTATGAGGGCAGAACCTCCACAAGTGCATTAGAGCCATTACAGACCAGGCCCCAGTGAGGCGTTTGACCCTTCCATGATGTGAGAAGGCAGGAAGCAGACCATCACTAGACAATGATCTGCCTTCATCTTGGACTTCCCAGCCTCTGCAGCCTCTGAGAAAGAAAATCTTGTGGTTTATGAACCAGTCAGGTAAAAAGTGTCCTGTTATGGCAGCCTGCATGCACTCAGACGGCAACAAACCCACCCAGCCTCCTCACCTGCTGCACAAGGGCCAGCTTACACTGTGGGGGTAAGCATCACAGTGTGAATGACCTAACAAACAGAGGTCTCTTCCTGCTAGTGCAAGGTCCAATGCAGGTGCCACCCTACTGCATTTATCACATTCAGGCAGCTGGGCTTTTCCATCACATGTCTCTCCTGACACAGTCCTGCCCTTCCAGACAGGCAGAGGGGGAAAGATCTTGCAGGATGTTTTGTTTATGTCCAGATTGGAAGTA